ACCATCTGATGTGCCAGACAACCTCCAAATGGAAATACTTGAGCTGCAAAACAACAACGAGCTCAAAGCTAAGTACAACAACCTTTCTCTGCTGTATTTTGACAAACTGTACGTACGTGCTGAGGATTTTCCCATCCTGAGGAGACATGCCCTGAAGTTTGCATCCCTGTTTGGGACAACGTTCCGCTGTGAACAGTTCTTTTCAAAAATGACTCTTGCAAAGGCTCACTGAAAAGCCAGCTTGGAGTAGCATCATCATCACTGCCAGCTGACATCAGACACCTCGCCAAAGAGAAACAGTTCCAGCCCTCATATTAGGTGAGTCTGACATGCGTAGAAATGCAGCAATCATGAGGCTTAGTAACACAGTGGTTATAGACTTTTTTTTCATCTTTTTTTGAATCCCTAGGTATGTGTTCATAATAGTATAGCAGGGCTCCATCTGATTGACCTAATATATTGACAGGCAGAGAGTGAAGGCATGGGCGCATGAAACACCATTTATTTGCTGTCTTTTGAGATACGTCTATCACGCATGTTGATATCGCGATGAAGATCGTGCTCACATAACGAGGGCTTAAAAGTACAGTGTGTAGATTTTTGTGATATCAAGTGTTGAAATTGAATATTGCAGCTGAACACCCCTCACCCTCCCCTTCCAAACATGAAAGAGAACCTGTGGTAACCTTCAGTTGTCATAAAAACTCAAAAGGTGTTTAGTTTGTCCAGTCTGGAATAATAATAAAGGGCCTTTTCTAGGGTAAAGAAAACTGCAATTCATAAAATTTAGATGAAACAAACTAGTGAAAACATCATGAGGATTATTCTACATTAAATTTCTGCCAACCGTTCCCTTTCACCTAAATCTTACACACTGGACCTTTAAAATGTATCCTTAACAAAAAATTTCCTGTACGGGCCTTTCGGTATCTGTAAGCATGTATACCAAACAAATGCAGCTTGTTTACATGCATTTGTGTGCATTTTAAATTCCGAGGGACAATTTTAGCGACAGGATGTGTTCTCTTGGTCATGGTGACAGTAGACAAACAGGAGTGCAAAGACCCTCCCTCATCATTTAAGTCTGCTGTGTGGGAACACTAAGGTTTACAGTGATTATAATGATGATGGACAAAGACAAGTGGATCGTATAGAAACCAACATTGCCCAACTGCTATTAGATATTTAGCCAGTAGCACATTGAACATGCCGACTTGTTTGAAATGGCCTTACCACAGTGATTTCCACTAACATTGGAAATAACAAAAACATTAGTGGGACAAGGAAAAAGCGAGTTCCCTGCAAACCCAGCTCCCTGTGGCATTAAAGCAGCTACTTGCAAATAATTCAGACTGTGTCAAAGCAATTACCAGCGTCATAGCTGGTTCTCTAGTAGCAGACAAGCAACCGTTCTCTGTTGTTGACAAAGCAGGGTTCAAACACACACTGAATGTAATCAAGCCCCGTTGTGAAGTTCCCTCTTGTCGGCATTTCAGCCAGCAAGTCACACCAGCCCTTAATAAACCTCTGTCCCTAGAGAGTGTTCTCCACAATGGAGACATTGTTAGTATAGGGCCACCCTCTCTGCAGACAATGTGGTGGTGGTTAATTATTTTGAATTTTAAAAAATGACAATACATATATTTAATAATATAATAATAATACAATACAATAACAGTCCAGTTTAAGGAAAGTACATTTTTTAGATGGTGCACCTTAATGGATATTTATTTTACTTGACTCTTTATTAGTAAAATTTAATTAGTTAAGACACAGCCATAGTTAACCAAGGTATAAAATATAAAAAGTAGTTTTCTTTTCCTTTTTTCTACTGTACCGTAAACGTACAGAACCATGATTTTTGTATACAGTTACACCCCTACTAATCAGACATAAATGGAAGGTTGTGGTCAGACGAAAGGGAAATGTGGATCAGAGAGGGAGAGAATTAAAAAGAGAAAATGTTCACCAAAAAGGGACCAGGTCAGTCAAGTGACACTGTACAGCAGTACAGGACTGCGTTCAAACCAACCTCTGCTTAGAAACACAGGGTCAAACTACTCCATTAATTTCACAGTGCACATTGTTTCTAAGCAAGTTACGAGCATGTTAGAGTGATTTCAAAATTAAAGCAACCTTCCTGTAAATGGGACATCACATATGTCCAGTCTGTGAATGCATGATTTAATGAGGTAACAAATTAGTTAATTGATTAAAATACAGACATTAATACCAGGGGTTCCCACAGCGCTTTATAGTTAAGGCGACAACAACGGCCCCCCGCCTTGACTACGTCCCCCCGAAAATAAATAAATAAATAAATATTCCGCATCCCTGCATGCAGTAGGTTAAGGCCGCATCGCAATGAGGCGGAATAGCGGCATCTGTAGGTTAAATATGTTAAGCCATCTATCATCTGCTGTAACTGCGTGGCAAGGCCAACATTTCTTTTTTATCGGGAAAGAAGCTAAATCCGACAACCGGATAGCATGCCTGTCGTTGTCGTGGGAACTGCAGTGCCACACCCCCTCCACCCCCGATCCAACAGGCACCGGAGCCATGGCAACTTATGGCACTTGGCACTTGACAAAGATGACATCATTGAAAAGATGGCAGAGTGCAGTGGGTTACTGCGCTGCCTACTTGTTTTATGGTCTGGTAACCGTTACATCAACATATAGGGTTAGCCTACAAAATGTGAAAAGGGTGGCCTGGAAAGGAATAGAATTCCCGGCCTGAATTATTTTCCCAGTCCGCCACTGCATGGAAGGACCCACATAAACTTGGTCAATTTGCAAAAGAGACTGGACTTAAAAAGTGTGCAAGCAGCGAGGGCTGTACGCTTAGGAGATGGAAAGCAGGGGTTGGGTGCCAGGCAACAGTGAGAAGGGGCAGGGGGCAAAGTGAGGCTGTGCTCTCATCTGTCATATAATGCTCAAGAAACAATTGTATTGAATTTGAGTGAGAAAACCACCATAAAAAGGTGCTTAACTGCCTTTAAGTGCACTACAGCCCCGATTCTCACATATTGGACTCATGATTACATGAAATGTCTGAACTTCAGTGCATTATGTTACCTCCTTCCACCAAAGGAAAAGAAATCTATACAAAATAATTATTGATTTCTAAAATTAAATTCTCTCTTTATTGAATTGTTTTTATAGAGAAATTTCTCATGGTCCAAAGATTTAAATTACAATTTCTATTAGGGTTCAAAAGCCCTTTTTTCTGTATTTTCTATATTATACATACAACCAAATTGTTGCAAACTGAATTAAAACATAATAAAGATTCAGTCCTCGACCGACAAAATATACGACTATTCAGGTATTAAAATTATTATTATTATTATTATTATTTTTCTGACACTATAACATGTTGAGTTGCTTGAGGTGCCTGGGATTTAAGATTTTCATTGCCAACTTGTACGCTGTATCTGTTGTGCAGATGACAAATAAACCTTTGAACCTTTATTCCGCCTTTTCCACTCTCTTGTTGGTTTTATTTATATCCTCAAAAATTCCCTTCAGTTGCTTACTGTTGACTTTCCTGAAATTCCTCAGTTTGTGTGGTATAAGGTCCAGGCTTGCATGATAAGCTTGTACCCCTGCATCTGTTGGCCCCTCGATGCCCTCCATGGCACTGCTAGGAGGTCTGGTCGTCACTGCATCACTTGTACCACGTCTTGGCATTTTGATGCCCACAATCTTCAATCAAGTTTCCTCCAAATTCAAGTTGTACTGGGCTATTTTAATTTGAATGTCGGAGAGCTCCTTTGCCTGTGCTGCCATCTCAAAGACGCTGTTAAAGCTTCAGTCCCCGCCCAATGAATTTTTAAGGTTGAAATTTGGCTTTGAGAGCAACAAATCTGTTTGTAAAGCAGTTTTCACAATCTGGAGAATTGTGACCAGACTTTTTCCAGAGTTTGCCTTTCATGCATGAACAATGCAGTGGGAGATGCTCAGCTCAGATGCATTAACAACAGTAAGAAATCCTCTATATACTGTATTTGGGGTGAGGGGTGGTGCAGCAGGACATAACTTATTTATTCCTCTGTGGAGATAACATTTCTCTTCATAGCACATCAATACCGGCAATGGTTCTTATTACCACAAATTCTTTTGAATACATGTACATGCACTTTTTCACCCAGATATAGCTGTTTTTGTTTTTCATTTTTAGTCTTTTGCATTTTTAGACATGACATGTCCGGACCCAATTCTCTGGAGAGACATTTGGACATACAATATCACATGACAACTGGGAGCTTTGAAATAATAAGTGAACCATTGCTCTATGACCTACATTAATTAATGGGGTTAAGTGTACTAGAGGCTGCCTTAGTTCATTTTCGTCTGTCCACTTTATTCTTTTTTCAAATTAATTATATCTGCATATCTAATGCTGATTTGACATCCAATGGTAAAACTATCAATTGACTTTCAGTGTTCCAAACTGAATATGTAATGTTATAAATAATTATTGCTGCTTTTCAACTATTTTCTCTTTCTCTAGAAACGATATACACACAGTGAAAACTTATACAGTCTAATAGTAAAGTTTATGAATGATATGCTACAGTGATTTCAAATCCACAACCGGCAAATCTAAAATGTCAAACACAATGGTAAATAACATGTAGACAACGCGTGTCCCCAGAGTAACGTTATAAATAGTTTGTGAATCGTACTAAGTGAGAAACTACTAGCAGCTCAGCTACCAGCTGCAACACGTGACACAATCTGAACACATTTAGTTAGCAGGATCTTTCATGTTTAACTCAATGTATATGAAATTTTACTAATGGTAACTCTACATGGCCACTTACGTAGTCTCGTCAACAACAGCTTGAAGTGAATTCACAATCGGCCAAGCGGCTGTAACTTTACACCCCCACTGCTCCAACACGCACACACAAGGCGGTGACTTTACCAGCCGCTGTTAAACATTCAGTACACAGTCTTTCTGAGCTGCAACTTCTCCTCAAGCCTTGCACTAACCTTCTCAGGAAGTTTGTAGACATTACGCTCCGGATTCCACGGGCTCTTCGTTATAGGCAGTATAAGTTTGAGAAAGACTAAGCTTTAGCAAAGACAAAGCACTGCTGACGGTTCAATAAGTGAGAAAGGTATAGAAAGTTCTCTTACAGTTGAAGTCAGAGGGACATGGAGGTAGTTTGGCCCAACTGCTCTCCCACAGACGCCCTGTCAAATCAAGGATCAAGTTACTAAGAAAGCCGCTGGTCCTTCGTAGCCCTACGTGGCAGGGGAAGAGCTGCTGGGAAACAACTGGCAAGTGTACTTTAACGCCACAAAACAGAGTCTTCCGGCCGTCCCCTCCAAAATAAAACCAACCATAACGTCTCTGCAGCCCAACTCTGCAACACCTCAACAACAATAATAATAATTAAGCTGTAAGATGTAGTTTCAAATGTAAACGCTACTACTGGGTTCATAGCATGTCTCAAAGCACCTATCAAAGTTTATCCCCCACCAATATCTGGGTTTGAAAGCCCTGTACTTCCCTTTCCATTTCTTTCCATTTAGACTCATAGTCAGGTCTACACCAACAGGCCAGATGTCTAAGTTGAGCTGCATAAAAATATTCTGTAAGGTTAGGCAAAGCCACCCCCCCTTGCTTTTAGGTAGTTGAAGTGTCGTAAATTTTATTAATTGACACCAGTTTTATATTATTATATGGCATTTAAATGATCAAATCCCGTGTTACATTCTTTAGCCTCCAGACAACTTAAAACTGCACAGACCTGAACATTTGGACAACGTGTGCTAACTGAAAAAGACAAAGAAAAAACATTTAACTCCCAAGTTAGGGTGATTCTTCGACACCCTGAGTCCCCGTTGGTAGGCAGAGGGGAGATCCTCCTCCAGAAGGGCCCCTCAGTAGAGGTGAAACACGCCATTCCACACATCCTAGCAGTACAACGTCATCCGATAGCATGTATTTTCTATTCCAAATGAAGTCTTTTGCATTCGTCTGATTTATTTTGGCCCCTCAAACCATCCTATTTGAATGAAAAGATGATATCCCTCAAAAATTAAAACAAACTCGTGTTGATTGTCTGTTACTACTCATAATATGGGTGAAATAATTAAATAATAAAGAATGACGTGAAGATTTTTTTGTTTTTTTTTGCCATATATAACAGTTTAAGGCTCACATCATGGGCAGAAATGATATATCAGTCAAAACATTAACTTCTCACCGCTGGTTTAATTGAGGGGCCAAACAAGTTTCACATACTGTGACAAGGTAGAGAATAGAGATTAGTTGGAGGGAATCCGCTCAAACTCCTGTAATCTTTCCTTCGCGCGGCACGCCGTGTCTGTGCCCGAAGTAGCTGCTCCATCTCCCTACTCGGATCTGTGGTGCTGCTGCCTGGTATTTCCACTGAGTAACCTCCAGGGCAGGGTCTAGGCAGGGGCAAGAGGGGGCCTGGCCCCCTCAAATAAATGTTGTGCCCCCTCAAACTAAATCCCCCAAAATATATTAAATTTCATATATTTTTTATTATCTCATGCTTCTCTCCTCTGCTCCACTTCTTAATGTCTTAATGTCTTGCTTGCCCCCTCAAATATAAAATATATCAAGTTGTTTCTCATGTCATGTTTCTCACCTCCCCTCCATCTCCCCTTTTCGCTCTGCTCAGTGTATCGGCCTGCTGCCGGTTCACTGTGAGGGATAGCTGTCTGCCCAACTTCCAATCACCCTTTAGTATGCAAATGAGCTAGTGTCAGGTTTCTAATAGCAGCTTGCAGCAGTAAACTGCGAAGCAAAGGAGCTCTGTTAAATTCGGTCATAGTGTTTTGTGTAGTGACATACTTAATTGCTAATAACATAATAAAAACAAGAGTTAATATTTTTCTTGAAAATCTTTATKTGCTCAGTCAACAACAACAACCAAAACCACATAATCAAATTCTTGTAGTAGCTAAGCTGKAGCCTATTCTCCTAGATCAGGGTGTGTGGGCCCACAGTCCCTGTCATGTGTCACAGCACGGGGAGAGAGCACTGTCCGCTCCCTGCCACAGACTGAGCACAAATGATCTGTGCGTGCAGACCCCTAAAGAAAGCCCCACCCCCACCCAACTTCTGCAATCTGGCTGCTTTTTTACAATCCCATCTTCACTTTTCCACTCCTGTAAAACTTTCAGCAGACTTGTCCCAACCTTGTGTATCTCATTCTCCTCAGGGACTCAGCCTTGTAAACAAGTGANTGCCATATATAACAGTATAATTAACTTCTCACCGCTGGTTTAATTAAGGGGCCAAACAAGTTTCACATACCGTGACAAGGTAGAGAATAGAGATTAGTTGCAGGTAATCCGCTCAAACTCCTGTAATCTTTCCTTGCGTGCGCCTTGTCTGTGCCCGAAGAAGCTGCTCCATCTCCCGGCTCGGATCCGTGGCGCTGCTGCTTGGTATTTCCACTGAGTAACCTCTCTTCTTCAGCTCCTGAGCTGCGACTTGTGCGCTCTCGTAGGTACATGTTCCAGAGTCCCAGTGAATGCGCGGAGTCTGGAAACAAATTCCTTTCTCTTTCAGGAGCCTCTTTATCCCCATGTATGCCTTGCACTTCTGGATAACATCTGTGGCATAATTGTGGTCAAACGACAGGCGTCGACCTTCAATCATTATTTTCTTTCCCCAGGCTTTTTTCAATACTGCTTCTTTGGTATTAAACTCCAGAAAATTTACCACTATAGACCTGGGTGGCTGGTTCCGCTCTGGTTTACGAGCTAAAGCTCTGTGTGCGCGCTGAATCCGCAGGCTAATGTCCACTGTCAGTGCAAGTTCACTTTTCAGAAGTTGCTCCACAAAGTCAGGCATGGAGTTGCCTTCTTTCCCTTCGGGTATGCCGTAAATGCGAATGTTATTCCGCCTAGACCGCCACTCCATATCTGTCAACTTTTCCTGCATTGTTTTCTGTCTTTTCATGGACTTAATGAGCGCCTCCTTCATAGCCATGTTAGTCGACTCGGTCTCATTGATCCGTGCTTCTGCTTCCTTCAGCCTGGTTACCAAGTTTCTGGTAGATTTCCTGTTTGAGATCTTTGAGCTCATTTTTCATGTCTTCCTTAAGTTCTTCTTTGAGAGTGTGTAGATCTGCCTTATGCTCAGTCCTGAAGTTGCGTATTTCCGTACTGATACTTTGATACACCAAGCACATGTTTTCCGCAGGGTTGTCGTTAGCACACTGAGTGTCATCCATCTCCGGTGTAGTCTTTCCTTCTTGAATGTCACGTTTCGTTTGACTTCTAGTTGTTACTCCCCTATTCATTCCAAAGTAGAATTGCCATGAATTGCTCAGCAATAGTGAATTTAGGGGGGCTAATCCTGACTTGCTCTCGGGAGCTCAAGCTCATGCAGCCATCTTGTCATCTTGCTCCACCGGAAGTCACAGAAAAATAATCTTGAATTTCACGATATATATATATATACTGTATATAAATATATATATAGTGTTCATATTGGTGTATGTGTGTAGGCATATACAGCTGTTTTAGATTTATGTTTATTATGGAAGCATATGGCTGTTTTATCTTAATAATTGTTTATGCTCTGAGATCGTTGTTCTTGTATCACTGATGCTACAAGAAAATTTGTCCGATTCGACGTCTGTGTCTTCTTACTCCCCCGCTGCAGAAGCCGGAGACTGGATCAGAGGACGAAGTCAGACACAGAACCGAATCCAAATCGAATGCACTTTTCACTTTCGCCACTGGCTGAGCGTGGTGACGTAAGTGGATGTCACTGCAGTACAGCAAGTCTCTGACTCTTCGTAGTGCATAATCTCACTCTGAGTAGCTCATGATTCGTTCCCATGTTGAATCCTGTTCTCATCTCAGCTTTTTGATGATTGATAGTTTGATGTTCTAATATGTACACCTATCTGCTAGCTCCAAACTGTTACCTTCATCACCACTGTCTTCTTTACAGCTCCTGGCACATGGCGAGCCGATTCTGCATTAAAAGGATTTAATTTTGTTTTCATCCTGGATGGATTAGTGAATGTGCGCCACAGTCACATCGCTGTACTGTAGACTGATCCCAGAAACTCCACCCCAGCCCCGGGACAACAACGTTATTTAGGGCCTGGAAATTAGCCCTTCATGTAGAGAAGCTGACAGGAGAAGGTCTCACTTTGGAAGAATAGATGATTTCCAAACCTACCTTAGTTCCAATGGTGGGAAGAGCAACGTGTGTCAAACATAGGCAGATGAATGTGCTGCTGCCTCCTCCCATGTGACGGGCTTTAAATCACACATTGCTAGCAGGAGGGGGTGTCCACCTCATGACGAACATCCAGGGCCACTGACTTTTCTGATAAGGGTGCGGGATATTTTCCATTGAGTCTTTTGATCTATTTATTTATTTACAACAAATGCGGTCTGATTGAGCTGCTCTTTACTGAAGTTATGTGCTCATGATTGGCTCATCGTCATTAGCCTGAGCCCCAATGCTGTTGCATCCAGAAAAATTATTTAGAGCAAGTGGGTCACATGTTTGTTGATTATTATGATAAAGAAGCACATATTCAATATTAAGTGGCTGATCTTGGAATATTTAGACCTCAGATCATTTTTCTATATGTTGTGACAAAGTTTAATTAGTCACAGTGTTGAACCAGGTGTCCATTTGCATTGCTTTCAGAAGCAGACTCTGTGAATGGCTCTTTGCAGCACAGCGGCTACAAATGTTCCAAACTCGATCGCTGCTTACAACGGTGGCTCCTCAGCAGTAGCTGCCCATCACACGCACCACCACCGTCATCACCTGCAGCACCCGGGCTCTGCTGCTGCCAAACACAAGGTCCAGCAACACACATCCACGGTTGCCGCAGTGATGCTCAACAGTAGCCAACCACAGCCCTACTTCCTTTCTCCCGCACCTGGACAAGCGCCTGGGCCAGTGGTGGCCGTCGCCCCTGCCCATGTTCAAGCCACAGCTATTGTCAAAACCCACCACCAACTGCAACAGCAGTTAGACATCGAGCCAGACAGGCCCATCGGCTATGGAGCGTTTGGGGTGGTCTGGTAAGTAGACTGCTCTGCTTTTCCCATGTAGCAAAGCAGATGAGTATTCTTACAGATTTTATTCTGTTTGTTTGGCTACAAATCATGAATACCTCTGCTATATTGTCTTAGCTTTGGACAGAAAAACAATGTTTAATTATATTTCAGAGTATACACTTAAAACTGCTGCTTTGCCTTGTGATGATGTTTACAGATTATTAATTATTATTAATACATTATTATTAATTTAGCCTGATTGAACAGTCCACAGTAATTTACAGGTGATGTTTACTATTGACTGTTTTCATTGTTGGATGGCTCAGGTTAAACCCTTTGAAAAACAAAAATATTCAGAGAATGAAGAACTTGAACCTTCTAACCATCTAAATTTAGAATCTGAAAACAAACACAACTAAATGAATCTTGGAAAATGAGAATTACATAAAGTGCAGCCACCATTTCTAAAAACAAAAAATGTAATACATCACAGCAACAGTGTAAAACAGTGCAACAGCAACTCAAAGCTAAATGAATCTAGGAATAAATAACAATTATTTTTAAAGAAAACTTAACAAAACCATTAATATGCACATCCACAGTTTAATTAAATAAAATACCTTTATTCTGTATCTTTCACAGCAACAATATAAAACAACAGCAAGTTCAAGACACATTTAGGAATACATAACAATTCCTTTATAAACCGTGTGTGCAGCCCCTATTTAGAAAAAGACAACTCTTGCATAGCACAGAAACAGTCTACAAAAGTAGTGTGATATAAACTCGACTCTAACAATTTAACTGTATAAGGATCAGCAGATTAAACAATTAGACCACATGTTGCAATAGCTACTTAGTATTGCTCTCAATTTCAAAGGGAATGTCAGTTTTTTTTTTATGAAGATGAGCATTTGTGCTCTCTGTCCTATGAACCTTTTTCTCGTTCGCTCCACTGAACAGTCTCTCCCCAAAAAGTTATATGTTCTGTATCACTTTGTATTGTGTCTGTTTCCTTTTGCTCTTGAGAAGATGAGGTCATACAAAATAGTATGACCTCAAAATAGTTAACTAACAACTAAAACCCAAGCATTTTTGAGGCTGACATTAATGGCGTAAGCAAAGAGATGCAGGTACCACCTCTTGGACTTCATGGGGGTGCGGTAGAGGTGTGCCAGCATGTCACTTTTTTCAATGCCGCCCATGTTTGCATTATAAGGCTTGATGACAGCTGGACAGCTGGTCTAACAGCTGTACCTGAAGACTGAGGACATCGGCTCCACCCCCATGTCTGTTGACAGCAGGGTGACTGTTTTGTTGTCCTTCAACCTGACAGCCAGTATCCCATCATCACTGGAGACGTAGTCACATGTACCATGAGGGACAGCCCTTTTCTCCATCTCCTTGATGGACTTGAGTGGATTGGCCTGGCTGCTGACTTACTGGGTTTGCTGGGCCTCTTGGCTTGTGGTGCTGGCTGCTCATTATCATCATCATGATCATCATTAATGTAACTGTCGCTGTCACTGTCACTGTCGCTTGGGCCTGGAATGTCCACGTTGTGGTCGGGTGGGACACAGGGTCTGCCACATCGTCATCTTCATCCTCGTCATCATTGCTGATGGCAGGGTGGGCTGGCGTGACAACATTCTCCCTTCTCTTGCCGTAAAACATCTTAGAAGAAATCTAAAACATAAACACATGCAATACAACAACTGTTTTTAAGGTGGGTTAAAATTCTCTCTGAATCACTGTATAGTGTTATAAAAACCTTAGGCAACATTAAAACATACTGTCCTAAGTTGTATTGCCTTATTTGTAAAGAAAATGCGCTAAGTATGGCTTGTTAGATGCATAGGGCATATTTCCAAAACCGGACAGACCAAACTACCTCCAGTTTTTACCAGAAGAGGGCCTATGAACAAATATGGCGGCCGCATTTTTCATGCCGTAATTTCACTAAGATCTCCACAAACAACACTTATGTCATGACTTAGTGCAACTATTCAACCATAAAATGTGTGAGTACCATAGTTAGTTTTGATGTTACGATCGTAAATGTACCGTGAGCTGAGCTGAAAAAGCGTATTTTTCCAACTCCAGAAAAAAGAGGAAGTTGGATGTGTTCCAGGTCTCTGCTGATTGGTCAATGGCCACAATGACATATAGTGTGACATAGAGTGATCTTTGCTGATTGGCTGGGTGAAGACCACGTTTCTGATCTCACTGAGGGGTAGCACAGGGTAAGTGTAACATGTGCGGAAATGACCAAAAACAGTCACTTGCCCTACCATTATTTTTCAAAATGATCTTGGAAATCCTCCTCGATTTCGAAAACGTCCACTGTATGAATACTGCGTTGATTAAATTCATCCCTAAACAAAACAATGATTCAAAGCACTCCCCCATATCTTCTCAATCAACATTGGTGTTAAAATCTAAATCAGAGCGTTATCATCTAGACTGGAATGTGTAATCACATCTCTTGTGCACCCAGATCAGAATAGGGAGATATTCCTCAGAAAACATCAAAACAGGTACAAAGATCCGGCCATTATTCTAATCCTGGGTGAGGAAAAGGGTAGGATAGCCATTTCTATTCACCCCCTTAAATAATTTGATTTCGGCACAAACTGATCTGTAATCACTAATGGAGACATAGAGCAGTGGTTGTCAAACCTTTTACACCATGTACCACCTCAGAAAGGATTAGACTCTCCAAGTACCACTGTTATGACCAACATTAAAATACAGCAGTGTAGGCCTAACCTATTCAGCTACAGACAGCTCACGTAAGAGGAAGGTTTAGTCCCAATAAGAAAATGATTTATTTTTGACTGTTGTCAGACACGCTGTACAAAGGTGTAGAACTAGAACTGGCACTTAAACACTGGTGTATAGATACAGATGCGGCTCTGTCAAATCTTGCAATGCCTCCTCCAACTAAACTCTAGTGTGGAAACTCTACTGTGCCCAGTTTAATTCATCATTATGAACAGTTGATTATATAAAAGAATTGTGAAGCTTATCAATGATACCAGAACCTGAGGGAAAAGTAACAGCGCACACACCTCGGCGCTGCTCTCTCAGCTGAAGTCTTTGACTCACTACAGTTTAAAAATCGATTTGTTTGTTTCCACAATATCAACACTGATCATCACATAATGATCAATATTGTTATTCATGAGTTATATCTTTATTCAGAGCAGCGCATTCATCAACCACTCACTTGCTCTTTCCCTGTCTCTCTCTCTCTCTCTTCCTTGTTCTCTCTTTCTCACACACACACACACAGAGTGTGATCGGACACGTGTATAAATTCAGTCTGAGTAAAAACAACAGACTTTCTAAACTTAGTAAATGTATGTCAAGCTTGAGGAGATGGTGGCGCTCTCCGTTTGGTTTGACGCAGTGCACAGCATGAATGACAGAAGAGACACGAGAGGATCTAAATTACTGAATGTTTTATTCTTG